ATATCAGTATTAGGGGGCAGGTTTGGGTTTGGTATCTATGGGGCTGGAGAGTGGGTCATCCACTGAGAAATGTAATAGGAGGAAAGATTTTTGCTTTGGGCTTGGGTGAAGTAAACGAGCCCTCGACTGTGGGAACACTTCTTTCCCTATCTCTCAAATAGTTCAAGTTTACTGGCCATCACTGCACACTGCAGGACACATTTCTTACCCTTGCTTATGCAGGGATGGGTGATGGGTATGCTGGGTAGGAACAGGGTAAGACTAGCAAATTTTTGCTCTATTGATATTGTTGTGGGGTTATCATTTGACCCAGGCAGATTGATGGGTCTATTTACTACTGTGTTTTAAAAATTTACTACAGTAGCATAGCAGAGAAGGAGCACTCTGTAGAAGAGAAAAATAATTGAGTAAATGGCTGGCATGGCAGAAAGCAGGCTGAAACATGTAGCTTATATGGCGTAGACAATAGGGAGTGTGACTGGAACGCTTCTCCATTGTGGGGAGGAGCAGGTACTGGTGCAGCACTAAGACTGGGCCTTATGCTGGCCAATATGAAGCAAGAGCAGGAGAATGCTCAACAGCACCCAGGAGAGCCTTAAATCATATTTGCAGTGCCATATCAGCACAACAGGAGCCTGCCAGGGGCTTAGGGTCTGCTCCAATACGCTTTACCTTCACACTGGAATTCTTTTTACTAGTGCTGTTCAGTTAGCACAGAGTGGTAGTAGGCAAGAGAATAGAATTATGCCAGTGAACATAATCCTCGCTTGAAAGATAAAGCCAAGCTGGACTGACCTCTCTAGGGTGCAAAAGCCTGGAGACACTGATCTATCAGTGTCCCTTTCTCAACCTTGCTGGTTTAATCCAAAGCAAAGGCAGGTGCCAGTAAGTTTGGAACCAGGTTGGCTGCAGGAAGTGCTGGAGCAAGGGAGATCATCCATTTATCTATCTATCGTAGCTCCAGTCCTAGACTGGCTGCTGACCATATTTAAAGAGCCCAGTCTACCATATCATGAAGTGGACTTCAGTTCCACAACTTCTTGGCAGCATTTCCTCCACTGGGGTAAAGTTAATACCCCTCTCTAAGGTCTGTTCTGCATGAAGCCATTGGCATCCTAGAGGTTAGCAGGTTATTTTACTGCTGCCCAGAACTCCATGATAAGAGTCGCAGGTAGTTCCATCTACTGTAAATTATGGTAGCTAAGGTTTAACTATTTGGTACTTATGCTGTGAGTAAAAACGAAAGCAGAACAAATCAGCCATTAACTGAAGTTTGATCACTCAGTTGTGGGTTCTCTCTGTCTGCCCTATCACATCTCTTGCAAAATTTTGGATGTGGCTTGACCAGTGGTTGTTCCCTTCTTGATAGATTTTCAGTTCTTCCTCTTTGGAGTCCCAACAATGTTCGGACGTGGATGAAAGCAAAGTGCTTCTCTTGTTGCTCTTTCTGTAGTGATTGCGCAGCTGTGGTGCAGATTTAAAGGAAGTGCAAAGCTCCTTGGATGCCAGGTTTTTTCCTCAAATGCCCCATAGTTATGTTTACTAGGGGTATGTGAAACAGGCCCTATTCAATTTGAATTCAGATTGGGCCCGAATAAGGAAGTGATTCAATTCATTGATTTGGATCACTGTCCCCAATCAGATTTGGCTGAATCCAAATATGAAGATTTGATGCTTATTCAGAGAATTAGTGATTCGGACATAGACACAGCTTTAGATGTTTTTTCTACATACCTCTAGGTACCGGGCACAGCTCGTGAATGCTGCGATGCCAAGGTGGATGGAGCATCTCACAGGAGTGTGGGAGGGCTCCCCGCACGCTTAGTGGCAAACCCAGAAGTGGACTGGAAATAGTTCCGGTCCACTTCCAGGTCCACTGGGGAGCACACTGGGGGCCCTCCCACACCTCCCCAGCTTGGCAATTGGCTGCAGGGGGACCCCAGTTGCCCCCCCAGACCCAGGAGGCACCAGTCGCCAAGCTGGGGTGAGCACGGGCCCCCCCCCACATGCTCCCCAGCAGACCCAGAAGTGGATCGGAAGTGCTTCTGGTCCACTTCCAGGTCTGCTGCCAAGTGCACTGGAACCCACCCCCCGTGCTCTTGTGGGATGCTCCATCTGCCCACCATTGCAGCATTCACGAGCTGTCTGGTACCTTTAGGTATGAAGAAGAAACATTTAAAACTATGTCTATGTCGAAATCTTTCCAAATCTCTCTGAATCGATTTGGAGGGTTCCAGTTTGATTCAGAGAGATTTAAGGGTCTCCTGATTCAATTTGGATTGGAGATTCGGCCACCGAATCGGGCCAAATCTCCGCTGAATCAAATCAGCTACCGAAGTTTCATACAGCCCTAATGATCACCATTTGCCATTCCCTAGGCAATACATTTCTATGCAAGCACGAATCAGGGAAGCACATTGATTTCAGTAAATGGAAATATTAGAAAGTAGGGCTGTGCGAAATGGCAGCGTTCCGTTTCGACCAGTGTTTTGATGGAACAGTGTTTCATTTCAAATTTTGTTTTGATTTGAAATAGCTGTTCTATTTTGTTCCATTGAAACAGAGTCGAAATGGCGAAACTGTTACAATGTTTCACCCATAGGATATAATAGGGAAGGACAAAACAGCCTATAACTTTGATCTCACTTGATTTGGATGAAACTTGCAGGAATGGTAGCCCCTTCTGCAGGCACGAATCCTGACAAGTTTTGAGGAGATAGGAGCAGGAGGTTTGGGGAAACTGCACCCCAACATTTTGAAATCAAAGCTTGTGTCACGTGTATGTGTTAAGCCACAGTGGGCTCAAAACTGCAGGCATGCTAACCCCTGCTGAGGCCACAAAGTCTGCCAAGTTTCAGAGAGACAGGTGCAGGGGCTTG